CGATTGCAACCACCGTGTGTCCGTTTCCTACTGTGTCCGATCGACACTGTGTCCGATTCATTCAACCTGCTGTGTCCGATTTATTCTGTGCGCAACTGGGACGCTCCCGAAAGTTTTATCATATTGGTACTAACTTGTGACATTAATGTCAGCTCTGTATGATCAAGGGCCGATTTCACATGCTTACTCCGCTAGGCCCTTTGGGTTAAAGCCGCAATTGAATCGAGTAAAAGTCGCATACAGAACACATTAACTTTTTATTAAAGTCTTATATATAAATATTCTGCATCATGTATGGTTCTGGATCATATACAATCCACATAAGTTATCTTATTAAATACAAATTAAAACCATATTTGATTTGAAGTGTTATATGATCCATATAAATGATCTAATTAAATTTTAATTAAAGCCCTATTTTATTGTGGATCATATTTAATCTACATAACTGATTTTAATAAGTGCAAATTAAAACTGTATTTAAACAAATATAATTTTAATATAAAATCTGGATTTAATTTGAATTTTACCCAAATTAAATATGATTTAATATGATTTTAGTTAGATTCATATTAGATCGTTTTTCGCGGAAAAATATATAATTGTCTGTTAGAACACGATTATATTTTTTGCAGTGCGACGTTGTAAACAATCAAGAATGGGAAAAATTAGAAAAAAATGGACGCAGGCTGAAGTAAATAATGCTCTCGAACTTATCAGATCCGGAAGATCGGTTTTTTTAACTAGCAAAATTACCGGCATTCCAAAAACAACGCTTCTCGACAAATTGAAAGGGAGAAGACCTTTGGCAGCATCATCGGGACCTGCTACAGTTCTAACAACTAAAGAGGAGGAAGAGCTGGAAAATTGGATTTTATACCTTAGTAAGAGAGGTTTTCCAATCACAAGAACGATTCTCGTGCACAGTGTGGCAGAATTAGTCAAAAAACTAAGACGAGAAACTCCCTTTACTGAAGGACGCCCAGGGCGTAGGTGGCTTGAAGGGTTTTTTCGTCGGCACCCGCAGATTTTACAACGTGTAGCTCAAAATTTGAGCAAAAGTCGAACTTTGATTACGGAGTCAGCTTTAAGAACGTGGTTCGATGAGGTAGAAAAGTATTGGAAGGAAAAAGATCTTATGAATATCGACGGATCTCGCATATTTAATTGCGATGAATCTGCCTTTTATCTTTGCCCCAAGGGAGAGCGAGTTCTAACTAAGAAAGGAGACAAGGCAGTCTATAATTATGTTCAAAATGATGAGAAAGAGTGCCTCACCGTTTTGTTTATGACAAATGCAAACGGTGATCTTGTTTCCCCTATGATTGTATTCGCCTACGAACGTTTGCCTTACAGCATTTCGCAAAGCATGCCATCGGATTGGGTCATTGGGAAAACGAGCAGCGGATGGATGACAGCGGAATCTTTTTATGAATATATTACTCACACGTTTGAACCCTGGTTGACTGCAAATAACATCCAAAGACCAGTGATACTTTACGTTGACGGTCATTCTTCACATGTGACGGTACCTGCACTTGTTGAATTTTGTGTGAGTAAGGGAATAGAATTGGTTTCGTTTATTCCCAACGCGACCCATCTTATTCAGCCCTTCGACGTTGCTCTTTTCCATACCTTGAAATCTACCTGGCGGAATACTATCAACGATTGGCGTATGGAATCTGATAACTTTCAGAAAAAAATACGTAAAAAAGATTTCGGACATCTTCTTAAAAAAGCTGTCGATAAAATCAATATGCCAGAGGTGATGAAGAATGGATTCAAAAAATGTGGTCTTTGTCCATTTTCACCAGACGCACTTGCACAAAATAAACTGTTGAAGAAGACCAAAAAAAGTCCACAGACGCAGATGACACCGACGAATGCAAAAAACATCCAAATTGCCCATCAAAGTCATTTGGAATTCATCGAGCAAAACATCGATAGCGAATTGCTGGAAGACTTTAAAGAAGCTGGTAAAACTGGCGTTTGGGAAGGCGCTGTCGACGATCGAAGTCTCTTTCTATTTTGGCAGAAAGTTACTGGAATCACAAGTACGATACATTTTACATATTTTTAATTTTTTCACCAAATCTCAGGTTTTTTGTGTGCAGTATATCGCATAATTTCTTTCTAATTAATAATTTTACTGATTTTAATCATTATATATATTTTGAGAATAGTGGCTTGTAGACTTTCAATTTATATAAAATTTAATTTTATTATATATTAATAAATTTAGTAATCTCGACGATACCCGATTTCAATAGTACAATCAAAATTGAGCTTCAAATTTTTAAACAAATTTTTTTACCATGTCTAATTGGCATAAAAAATTTATCATTCGAAAAATTATTCCACATTATCTCTGGCAATCATTTTAATTCAGAATTGTTGTTTTATGCACATATAAGGGAATTCATCAAGTTTTCCTGGCAAAGAAAAAAACGAAAAAATAGATTTGATTGTCATCGAAAATGATAACGATTGTAAGACTATCCCCGACGAAAAGTCTGGCTTTTCCTTCGACATAACATTTCAAGAACTTTTTAATGAGTCGGCAGAGCAAGATGTAGAAGATCTTGTTATTCTTGTTGACGAGCAGAAAGAGCCGCTGTTGTCTGAAATTCACGAGATTAACAACGATAACTGCGAGTCAATTTTAAAGTACATTTTATTTATGAATTACACTTTTTTGATACCCTCATACACCTATAATTTACACGCGCAATGCACATAACATTACTTTGTTGCTTTATAGTTGTTTTTCGTTTTTGCATTTTAGGCCAACAAATATTGACACTGAAGATGTAACCACTGCACCACATGTATCAAAAGAGAGTGACAATAAAGGTAAATTAGGATTTCTCACAGCAACACAATGAATCTTAAGATAATGAAAAAGTTGCGATTTTTTTTACAGAGAATACGAACTACATTCCTCCAAACGTGTCGTCCCCTTTCAAACAATTCTTGTTTTGGCCTAAACCAAAAACTGGCCCAGAAAAGAAAAGGAAGGCGAGGCTCAAAACACCGAGTGTTGCCACGTCAGCCGAATGGAAAGCTTATCATGATCATTTTGAAGAAGAAAGGAAACATTGAGCAGAAGTGGAAAATAGAAAAAGAATGCGTCAAGAAGCAGCTGCGGAAAAGAAGAGGATAGCTGAAGAAACGAAGAAACGCAAAGAAATCGAAAGAGCTGAAAAGAAAGCCCAGAAAGAGCTTGAAAAAGCTGAAAAGAAAACATCTAAAACTAAAGATGTGAAAAAAAGGAAGCGTTAATGCAAGCAAATTGGTCGTAAATAATTATTTTTTCAATTTTCTATGATTGTTCTATTATGTTTTAAATAAATTAATAATATAAGTATTACAAAATAATATTAACGACAATTTTCATAAATGATAAATGATTAATAATCGATCATAAGTAGCAGCTGTTATTTGATGATTATTTTTTCAATAAACAATGTTAATTCGATCACTACCAATTAAGTAGCTCGAATAAATATTTTGAAACAAAAGTTACGTCTTATAATGTTTTTGATGTATTACCAGTCAGATTTATATAATTTTCACAGTAAAATTACGAACCATCAAATTTGGAAATCGTCTTAACTAGTATGGACTCATTTTTATAATAAATATAATTTTTATAAATTATTTTTATCAGGAGTGTAGATAGTAAAACATCCAATACATATTCGTTTTATCCATGACGGACGCAAAATAGTGCAGTCAAATCGTAGACTAGTTTGCGTCCTGACGCAAATGGGGCAACGCAATGGACGCAAACGTTCGAAAACGAATCAGGCGGACGCAACGACGTAAAATGATACCTTCGCGTAATTTTAGAATTTTCTGGTGCAATATGTAGCAATTTGACAAAACAAAAGCTTTTTTCCATAAAGAAATGTATATTTTTCAATCAGTAATGATTTTTAATCAAATTGGAATAGATTATACTCGTATATTGGTCTTCTATTCTGCTATAACCCTTACATGGACGCAAATAGGTGCATTTACCTTAATACCTCTATTTCACTAACGCGTGGATAGAATTATCAATTTTTTAACACATGAGAAAAAGATTAGAGGCAACGAATTATATATTTAGAAATTTTGCTTCAATTTTGCCTGCTCAATTAATTAATTGCCGAACGGGAGTACGAAATTAAACTGCAGTCCATGCCGATGCCATGCTGATCTCGTTTCTCACAGGGTACACGTGCGAGGAGATTCCAAATCGTTTAATTTGTCTATTTAGCGAATACAGAATTTCGTAAATCACATGTCTCGTCCTTTTCTCTCGCAGTCGAAAACCAGGGCTATTTCATATTTACAGAAACTAAAATTATCCAAAATAATTTATGTATACATATATAATCGCTACATGCATATGTTACATGGAACAGGCCTTTTACTTACGACGGTTTTCCGCATCAATGTATGTTGCGAAAGGTTCCATCTTAAAAAACGGATATGAGCTTCGTTATCTTTGACATCGACAAGGTACTGTTAAAGATCGACGGTTTTACAGACGCATGACTGTCGAAATCTGGACGGTTAACTCAGTAATCCACTGTTAATTTTATTATTATTATCCTGACATAGAATATGTACGATGTGGTGATATTCGATTTTCACTTAAAGCTGCACGATTATCCATGCGCGTCGTAGTTATGGGAAAAAAGTTGTAGTTTTCTAGCGACAAAACTACAATTTTATGTAATATCGCATAAATTTGTACGTTTACTTACGAAGCATCGGTACAATAATAAATCATGAATTTAATACCGCATTATAAGCTGATATATCGACGTCTGAAACAACTGATAATGTCTACATTTTAATGTCTTTAACAGCACCCTATCGGAGGCTTTGAACACTCTCCAGAACACATGTCCGTGCGCAGCGGTCGCTTGGATATAGGTATATTATAATATATAACTTAATCTCTTAATACTGGATCTCACAGAGCCCTGCGGTAGAACAAGCGATAAATTACGTCTCCGTGAATAATCTTGCAGTTCTGTGTATTACAAATGTTCGAGAGCAAAAATTACCGCAAATATATATAACAATACGTTAATAGCTCATCCGTCATATTTTATCCATATATCCACCAATCGTATTACTTAGTAAAACAGATTTGTTCAAAACTGTATTCTACCTTTTACTCTCTTTCTCTTTCTCTGTCCGTAAAGTTACACAAAGAGTCAAACATCTATTGAAATGTTACTCTTTGACGAGAATACGTTATGCATACATTACGAAGTTATTACTGTAATTATTACTTTCAGACGTTTCTGAAATCCTTTAACGATTGAGTACACATTCTCGGCAGAAATATTCTTAATATATTACCGATTATAATTTTCTTTTTCGCTATCTATGAAATTGCAGGTATCTCGAAGTTCACGCTGAGATTTTCGGATTGAGCTAATTTAACGATGGTCGACAATTTTACCGCGACACGGGCGGCCTCGTCGAGATCGTCGATTGGTACAATTTTTAAACCCGCATTTGCGATCAGAGCCTTAGCTTCGTCCACGTTAGTACCCTAGAAAGGACAAAAAAAATATGTCTTCGTACAATCGGTCATAATTATAATTATTTGCAAAACAAAGCATCGGTTACTGTACCTGCAATCTTACGACGACGGGAATTTTTAAATCTAATTCCTTAGTCGCGGCGATAATACCCTCCGCTATAACGTCACACCTCATGATGCCGCCAAAGATATTAACTAAAAGAGCGTGAACCTGATAGAAAAAAAGAATATACGTGTAAAAATTCAGTTAAATCACACAAGGACCAATCGTGATTTCGTGCACTCACTCGTGGATCAGAAGTGATAATTTTAAATGCCTCTTTCACCGCCGAAGCCGACGCACCACCGCCAACGTCGAGGAAATTAGCTGGTTCACCACCATGCAACTTTATGATGTCCATGGTGGCCATGGCTAAACCAGCTCCGTTCACCATGCAACCTATGTTACCGTCGAGCGCGATGTAATTCAAGTCGAATTTCGCGGCTTCGACTTCCTTAGAATCCTCCTGAGTCCAATCTCTTAGACTAAAGAGCTCCTTTTGCCTGAACTCGGCGTTGTCGTCAAACCGGCACTTGCAATCCAGAGCGAAATCTGTAAAAAAATTACGTAGGAAGTTTACGCAAACCGAGTATTTACAAAATGTTGTAAAGAGAGATAAAAAGGCAAATTTACAATTTCCATTGATATCTTCGGCGAGAGGATTCACTTCCAAGAGAAGAGCGTCCTTCTTGAGAAACATTTGGTAAAGATTTATAATCATATTGGAAATGTAATCCTTCACGTTATCCAGGCCGAGCTTCGCTACTATGCGTTCCGCCTGTTCCTTTGTAATTCCCTTATTGATGTCGATAGGTTCGTACATGATGGCACTGGGATTCGTAGCCGCGACTTCCTCGATGTTTACCCCACCTTGGCTGGAAGCTATTATGACGGGACCCTGGAAGTGGAAAACATCCGTTAGAAATTATATCTCTCTTTTAACACGCAATATCATCTCATACGGCTCACGCATTTCGTCAACTTACACCAAAGGCTCTTTCCATCATGACGGCAAGGTAGTACTCTTTACGGGGAAACATGCGCTGCGTGACCATCACGGCGTTGCATATCCTGCCGCCCTCGCCAGTCTGTTTCGTGATCAGCAATTTGCCAAGCATCTGGCTCGCCAACGACTTGGCCTCCTCTGGACTACAAGCAACGGTGATAAACAACATTTCACGACGCATCTCGAATATGTCGTGTTGCATGTAATTCTTATCGAAATGGCCGTAATTACGTTTCACACATCTTCACCCCGCTGACGCTCGTCCCCTTGAAGTGTCCCTTTCCTCTGCCGCCGGCGAGGACCTGGGCCTTCAGAACGATATCCTTTGTCTTCAGATCGGCGGCGAGCTTAGCTGCCTCGTCGGGTGTTTTGGCGACGCCGAATTTAGGTGTCGGTACACCGGCCTCATTCAGCAAACTGTAGCTAATGTGTTCGTGTACGTTCAGATTCCTGACTGGTTGCTTCATCAAGCTGGTCTTGCACGTGAATATCTGAAAAAGGGACGTGACGTAACCCGGGTTTCAGTGATAACTCTCGCATTTGTTTACATTATAATCAGCCACTCCCAGCTCTACTAGCGTCATTACATTCATAAAAGTGCATGCCAAAGTCTACGTCGTGTACATTGATCGGGGATAAAGAAAGATAAAATTTGCTAACGCAACGTATTTGCATTAAAAAGACAAGATAACATGAGTAGGTTAAAGTATATGCAAATTGGTTTGTCACTATAAATCATATAACGGTTAAATATAGATCTATGCTCGAAGGTCGAACGGCGATGAACATACGCATACGTTCGTCTCACATGTAGCTTTTACATGCGTTTTGGCAATGACACACAATAAAGTGAATTGTGTAACAGAGCGGCACATTCCATTA